ATTGGCCAAAATCAATGAAAATTTAAAATCCACAAACACATGATTTACTAAACTGATATCTAAGAATTCATCCTAGAGAGAGTCATACATGTGCGAAATGATACATGGACAAGAATCACACTGCAGTGTCACCTGTAATAGCAAAAGATTGGGGCCCATCAGGATGGGGCTGGGTATACGAAGTAGAGCCCAGAGGAAAAAGGTATGATGCAGCCATTAAAAAAAAAAATGCAACAGCCCCAGCTGGTGTGGTTCAATGGATTGAGTGCCAGCCTGTGAACCAAAGGGTCGCTAGTTCGATTCCCAGTCAGGACACAGGCCTGGGTTGCAAACCAGGTCCCCAGTAGAGGGACGTGAGAGACAACCACACATAGATGCTTCTCTTCCTCCCTTTCGCCCTCCCTTCCCCTCTCTCTAAAAATAAAGAAATAATGCAACAGTTACTAGTACTGCTATGAAAAGAACCAGCCACACTGCAAGAAGAGTTGTCTTGGGCCACACACTAAATGCACTGTGACACATAATCACAAAAATATCTCATGATGTTTTAAGTAAATTTACAATTTTGTGTTGGGCTGCATTCACAGCCAGCCCAAGCCACATGCAGCCCAGGGGCTGCAGGTTGGACATCCCTGAATTTTATACACGCTTTTGTGAACGTAAGATATCGCTGGAAGTTTACGTAAGAAATTGCTAGATCAGTTGCTTCTGGGAAAGATAACTGGGTAGGAGGGAGCTTCACTTTTAACCTTTCATACCTTTTAAATGTTATACTGTGTATATGTAAAGCCTATGTAAAAATTAATAAAATTTAAAGTTGCATCTTCTTTTCATCATTTATTATCCATTATGACTCCCAGGGGGAAGTGCCATTACTTATATCTGGCCAAACAGTCTTCCCGGAAGTAGGAAAAACTCACCTCAGGTGACTAGACAAGGCGGTAATTAATTCCCAAACTCTTTAAAGGGCACCTGACATTAATCCATAAACATCAACAGGTGACTGTCATTGACAGTGAACAGTGGCATTATTGTAAGTGGAAGAGAAAGGAATCATCGTTCACGGCACATACTGATCCTTCAGATTTCAGCTCAGCATGTCCCCAAGGAAGTCCTCCCTGGCCCCCTATTACCTAAGCCGGAGGTTCCTCCAATGTGCTCCCACTGAGCACTTGGCACGGTCACCTCATGTGCCCCTCTCACCATGCAGGACAGGCCTCATTACCCGTGTACTCTCAACCCCCCGCAAAGGCTGGCTGCCTCAAGCACCTTCGGCCCCAGACACGGACTTACTGTTCCCTCACAGTCACTCCCAAGCTGCTGTCACGACACCCACCCAGCCTCCAGCCGCCTTTCTGCAGTGGCCCACAAGATGAAGATGTCCCCACGGGGATGGGAAGGGAAGGCCATCTGCCCCTCCCAACTTCCCAGAGCCACAGATTCGCCTGTAATTATAGTTTGCTTGTCTATTTGTTTCATTTGAATACTTGAGCATGAATGGGCAACTACTCCTGTAATTATGTTTTCCTTTAACAAGAAAATATTTAGAACTTTTCCACTCAAAAAGCACATTTTTCAAAATTGAATCATTTTAAAAGTCTGCTTTCATTACACAGTTGCATCTTGTATTCCTGAGGGCCTTTGCAAATAATTCTGGTTTTTCTGTTATGTTTTGGCACAAGTCAAGTTCCAATGTCATGAAAATCAATGCTCTGCTGTTTCTAAAAGAGAACACTATAAACGAAGCTGCAACGGGAGATGTGGAGACAGATTCTTTTTAATTCCCCTGTTTTGACTTAATTTTGTGTACTCTTTCTTCAGTTCTTCCTTGTTAGGTCAATTTATCATTCCGAGTGTCACTAGCATCCAATGCACTAATATGCTTGGGGAAAGTATGGAAAACTCTTAAGTTCACACTGATGCTCAGTAGTAATGTCAAAGTGGCCGACCTGCCCTAAGGGGTGTTTTAGTTGGCCTGATTTTCCTAGAACTTCTGAGAAGTGCGTCTTGTTTCCAAACCAAGGGAAAGAAGTTCTGTAGCTCCTGAGCTCTGCAATGGGTCCCTGGTGCTCTGTTTAGTAGTCAGGGGCGCGCTGACAGAAGAATGTGGGTTCTCACCGAAAAAAAATGCAGCTATTGTTCGTGATAGTTCACTGTCTTTCCTGAGGAAAAAAACGTTTTTCTTTTTGGTTTTGATAAAATGTGGATATGTATAACACTTCCAGAATAAATCTTACATATTCTACTAAAGTACAAACCGCAGTAAAAACAATCATATATCTTCATAGAGCGCAAAATACATGCAAATGTGGAAAGAGATGATGGGTGACATCCAAAGAATCCAGTTTTCAAGAATGAAAAGATTAAACTGTATGAAAACATTTTATCATAAAGGCACCTGGCATAATATGCTTGGGCAATGGAGTACAAATATGATTTGGAGAACCCCTCTTATTTTTTTTTTTAAACAGTCACAAAACATAAACTGGCAAAGGGAGAGTAAGAAGGGGCAATGAAGCCAGGCCAGGTAGCTTCCTGGTCTTAATAGTGAAACTGCACATCTACTATTTCAAATGATTCACTACATGGTTTTCCAAAGCCACAGATGTGATAGTTGAAAAAACATGTAAATGAAAAAAAAAAAGCAATAGACTCTTTGAAGCTGCTTTACTCACTAGTGGACACTAGGAATGGCCAAGGGGATGAATTTCCTGTGCAGAAGTGCACTGTGAGAGGGAACAGGCAGCTTAGAAGAGGCTAGTGGCATTGCTGCTTCCCGGTGACCAGGTTTCAGTGCACAGGGTCCCCCAGAGAGATTTCACCCAGTGCCTTCCTCAAGCCGAGGACCACTGAGTCCACGTGTCCCTGGGAGTCAAACAGACACCTCCTCACACCTTGCCTGCCCCAGACTGAACATCTCCACCCTTGATGAGCTTTCCTTGCAGTATCTTCTCGGTTCCTCTCTTCTAACATCCACATGCAAGCCTGACCCCTCACTCCCTCCTCCAATTCCCCTGCTCCCACCCTCCTGGCAGCAGCCAAACCTGCCGAACCCACTTCTCCCCTCAAGCGCCTGGGTCACTGGCCTTCTTGGACACGGTCATCTCTCTTGGACCTGGAGGCAGCTTCTGGCGGCCCTGTCCCTGCCACCTCACCCCACTAGGCTGTATTCACTGATGTGTTAGAAGACATGGTCAGCTTGCTTCAAACCCTGAACAGCCCTGTGCTCCCAGGATGAAGACCAACCTCCTCCCCAGGGCATTTCAAGTGCTCCTGGATCCAGCCCCACTCTTCCTCCTTTAATTTCTCCCCCAGGAGACACTCAGCCAGACCAAGAAGGGAATGAGACACGGACAGGAGTCCTTCAGGAGCCTGCACTCCTAGAGCTTCCAGCTTAAACCTGGACCTGGGTTTCTGAGAGTTGGGAAGAGGGTGGAGGCTGGGGCTTTGCCTTTAGGCTCTGGGAGGAACTTCCCCCCAAAGCCCAGGACTTCGGAAGCTTGCAGGCCTTCTGTCCTTGTAACTTCTCACCTTCAGGGGCCTCCAAACTGTTCCCCAGCCAATGAGGGGGCACTTCGCCCAATGACCCATGGCTGACTGCAGCTCTGCCATGGCCGAAGTTGGGTGTTGGGGAGGACACAGCAAGGGGTGGAGCCTGCTTACCACCCAAGGAGCCGGCAGCCTCGCAGGTGTGAGATGTCTGATGTAGCATTGGTCAGACCCTAACATTCCTCACTTTAGTCCCCAAACCTCCATCTCATATGGCAAGGATCTTCTTTATTAGTGACCTCTCTGAGAGCACAGGCAACCTCAGCTGACCCCAAGAAGAGGCGCCCTAGGGTAGAGGACAGAGGGTATCTGTTACCTCATGACCAAGACCTAACTGAGCCTGAATATGCCCAGGCCAGGCCCACAGCTGGCTGCGGAACCTGAGAGTTTAACACCATGGGCCTTATATATCATCTTAGAAATGAACAGTGACGGGTGGCGAAGCAAACCCCATTGGACAGCCCTTCCGCCCGGGCTGCGGCACATCCTGACCCAATCTCACCACCAGCAGCCCTCGGCCAAATACTTGCCAGTACACGGGAGAGGATCAGAATGTGGAGCGCAGGTCCGATCTGTTTTAAGCTCCGGATTTGAGGCAAATGATCCCTGGGAATTGCTTCTGTCTAGATTTCTGATCACGAACTGCTGGATATTACACTCATCATCACACTCTGTCACTCCCCACCGTGCCCACGCGGTGGGGTTCCCGCAGCACTTTTACACATTACCTTTCATCTGCTCATCGGAACCACCCTCCATGGTAAAAGTTGGCATAATTGACATTTTACCCTCAGGGATGAAATAACTTCCTAGTGAGTTGGAAACCTAGCCAGCGTTCTCTAAGTCAGCACTCTTGCCATATAAGGGTAACTATTTTTAATTGTTCTAAAATTACAGGTCTTACCTTTTCCCTTGTAAACACATCCTTGCGCAATCACTCGATTCTAGGAGTAATAGTCAGTTAATTTCTGGTGGTCTAATACTCTTGCCAAGGTAAATTTCTTCCATGGACACGTACCATTCTTTTCTCTTCTGGTAGGTCCTGGATTAATTACACAACACCTTAAAAGGCCCATTACCTCCTGATTTACATAGAATTAATCATTTAAAGGTGAAAACTGATGTGAATAAGACAAATTACGGAGCTTACTCTAGATCTAGAACACTTTTTGAGGGGTGAACCAACACATTCACATTTAAATGTTTAGGGGAAATATTTTTATACTTTCTATCAAAAGTGGGTAGGAAGATGAGACAATGATATCTTTAATAAAGTTACTTACTAAATAGTGTGAAAGAAAGAAAATAGTCTTGTCTTTGGGCTATATGCTGTAATGGAAAATACTTCAGATTATAGTTTCATTTATATTTTTCCTCTAGGCACTATAATCACATGTATGCCCTCTAGCTGAGGACAGTGGAGCTTTCAGAATGCTTCTCATAAAACCCACCTTTCCAGCCTGGCCTCCTGTGGGAGTGAAAGAGATGATGAGGAAGTGGCAGGCGCAGTGGATCCAGATGAAGGCCTTGAAGGGTGATAAGAGTGGTTGCCAAAGTTGTTGTATCTAAAGAGTGCAGAGGATTAAGTTCGGGGAAAGGAGAGACAGAAATGAGTACGAGTCAGTAAACAGGTAACAGCAAGTTATCTTAATTTTTGCAAGAAAACTCGTCTGGAAATGCTAACATCGTTAGTGATTACACTAACTTAAAGAAATTCAATAACTTCTTTGTTTTGATTATTTCTCATTAAAAAAGTTTCCCAAAGTCCAAAATCATTAGACAGCAGGATTTATAACAAAGGGTTTAAATAAGACACTCATATTTCCTGTCTTTTAAAATGTAGTCAAACTATTTGCTAACAAAAATTAGAATCCAAATGATTTTCATTTGAATCATGAAGATCTTTCTTGCCTCCCCTGGTTATACAATTCACATTAATTCCATCAAAGATTTATAGAAAATGTCAGATGACTGGCTAAAGAAGCATCTTATTAAAAATTCTGCTTTAGATATTTCTGAATCAATTTCATTCATCAAATATAATTTCATCATGTGGCTGACGATCAACAATAAAATGTCTCCAGGCCTCTGGAATAGCCTGTTGCTTAGAGGTGCAAGTATCCATGTGTTTATTCACTATTTCCCCAGAACCAAAATTATAGTTTTTATCATTTGTTTCTCTGACAAGTTTTAAGATTTGTAAAATTCTAGAGTTTTCTTTGTTTCTCAGAATACCGTCAGCAGTTTGCGTTTAGCCATCATCACTCAGCATATTCCCAGAAAACAAGTCATCATTTGAATCCCCTGCCTGGAGGTGGACACTGGTGACTGATTACAAATAACAAGCTTCAGAGAACCTTGCCTCTCAACCTACTCAAGGGAGAGCCAACTCCTTCCCCTAAGCTAGTTAGGGACACTGTGTGTGGGTACATGGGACCTCAAGGGTCACTATGATATAACTGCACAAAACCCTTCCTGCATATGGTGAATCCAGTCCAAACTCCTGTCAACAGAAATCAGTACTAACCACGCTGACCTCAAAATGTAGCTCTCCTTTGACAGAGTAAGTCTACTTTTGGAAGTTATAATGACCTGATAGTTATTTATATACAGAACATGTCATGCGGGAAGATACTCACTGGAGCATTATTGAGGTCACAGTGAAAAACTGTAAACTGCCCAACCAGCTAACATGTAAGAATGGAATATTATGCAACCATCAGAAATTATTGCCAGTTTTGTAAGTGATAAGATGGAAAATGTTTATATATATATTATATATATATATTTTATATATATATGCAGAATTAAAACATCAGGATATAATAATTACACCAAGTTTGAACATAACTGTAGAAAAATATTCTTAAAGGTCAAACATTATGTGTAGGAAAAAAGTGTAAAAAGGCAGGTCTATTTTTAAAAAATGGAATAGACATACATTGTCAGTTTTCCTTAATAAACTACACTATTATAATGAGAAATAAAATATTTACATTTCCCCACATCTATCCTGTTTTGTTAAGTCTTGTGTGCCGGGCTGTTCCTCTACTTGTTTATTTGGTACCACATGTGAGGCCTGTGCTTAGCACCAGGCCCTCCGCCAAGCAGATGGGGACTCAGATCACAAATTGTTACATCATTGTCCTTCTCTGTGGCCATGCCACCTTCATGGGACTTGGTTCCTGGCATTTATTTTCTCTTCCTTTTAAAAACCCAAACATTCTACATGTCCAACAGGTTAACTGCTTCTCTGAGTGTTGGTTTGATTTTTCAAGAAGATGCCCAAACCACAGGCCACAGAAAAGGCATAAAAGCAAAAGGTGAGAAGAACATCCAAAGGAAGGAAGAAGCAGAAAACGATGAAAAAAAGCTCAGAGGCAAAGAAGAGGGGGAGGATCAAGGAGGGGGCCAGCAGAGGCTGGGTCCTCAGGCTTCCCCATGCGTCACAGCGGCCTGGAATCTCATCTCGCTATTCCATGCAACTGAATCAACTCCCTTCCGACCAAAGTGCGCATCTGGTAGAATGTTTTAACAGGAGTACTTTACTAAAATTACGTTTAAATGATACCATGGAAATAAGACAAGCATAATGCTTTTTTTTTCCCCTCCTCTGGTTTTTCTCATGGCTGAGCAATTAATTCAAATACCACATACTCTATTGCTTTGCTTCTCAATTTCAGAGAAGCTAACTGGATCATGCAACTCACTACCAGTCTATTATTATTATTATTATCATTATTATTATTATTATTATATTTTAAGTGAATAACTGGTTTGTCTCTACTATAACCCATTTAATTGCAATCATCCACTGATCAGTCAAATATGTGGCTGGAGAGACCCACAAAAACCACAGCGTGTGACCATCAAAAATTAATGGGAACGAACAATATTTAGACAGTATTCAAATTCCTGTCAAGTATTTAAAAATTGTAAACCTTTCTCAGTTAAATCTAAATCAATCCTCATTCACAAAACATGTGCCTGTGTTTCGCAATTTCCACATATATTCATTTCAGTAATTTATGTTTCTACTGCTCCCATTCCCCAAGGGCTATAAACAGTAGTAAAACTTGGAGACCAGCTTGGAGGAACCTGGGTCCCAGGAAAGCCCTATCAGACGCTGTGAGACCATCGCCAGAAAGTCCTGGATCCCTGCCATGAGCTACCACCACCCGACTAGGGAAGATGAGGTTATCGAGGTAATTTATTTCAGTGAAGTGTACCACTCTTAACTTGTGTATAGAGACTGTTCTCAGAGGGCATAAGAGCCATGTTGGAGGTAATCCACAAAAACTATGGGAAAGATCACAGCAATCCCAGAATTTCAAATCTGGAAGAGACTTGTAGAGAGCTTATAGTTCACAGATTCCTCGAGGTACACAAGGCCACTATGGAGAGAGAGTACATGAATTCTCAGATCTTCAAGCTCATATATGCTCTTTCTTAAAATGTATGTGCCTATGGCCATCCTAGCGTCTCTCCATTCTCCTTTCTTGCTTCCCCTTCCACTGCTGCCCTCCACTTTCAAGGGGAGAAAAAAATATGAGAATTTTCACCCAGGCTGAATCTGTGTGGGACTCCGCTTTGAGCTGTAAAACCTCCAGGGTACCACGCAAAGGGATAACATGGGAACACATCACTTCTGAGCAAATTCCCTAAGAAGTACAGAAGAGGAAGAAGGCAGTGCTTTATTTATCCAGGGGCAAACTCAGAGCCAGGTCTCAAGCACTGTCTCTACCTACCCACACCCCTACCTGCCAGTCAGACCCCAGAAGTGAGATGTCTGTCAAAGGGATGCATGTTAGCTTATTTGAATTGAAACGTGAAGTCAGGTGTTTTCTGACAATCTCATTAGGCATATGGAAGTGTTTCCCATTGTTTAATCAGTTAAATCCAAAGCCCCATGGTTTTGACAAAAATAAATTGAAAGCACTTATACAATAGACAAATTACATCCTTTACAATTATGTAAGGTTATGATAAAAAAAAAAAAACAACAACAACTAAACAGACTACCTGGAACTTTGAGGCAGGTTTCAAACTTCTTTTAGGTTGTAAATAAACAAAAATGGTTGATGACCACAGTTCTAAATTAATTCTTCTATTTATAAGATAGACTGATAAATAGATGATAGGTAAAAACCCATAGTGACTGGCTGTTTCGTGGTGTGAAAGAGCTGCCCTCCTGGCCCAGGTCCTGTATAGATTCATTCAAAATGAGGTATAACCTCTTGCTGGGCACCCAGGCTGAGGGTCCTCCAAGAAGTCTTACTGGCCACAATTTGCCTGAAGAAGCCCTGGCAGGGAGCAGCTGGGGTTAGGGCCTGGGATTAGGAGTTACTGTGTACATGAGTCCACAAAAGATAGAGACTGACAGACTGTCTAAGGGAGAGGCCTATGTCATGCACAGGTTAGGACCACACTTCGGAACAGGCTGCCTGGGGTGGAAACCACTCCCCACTCACCTAGTCTCTCTGTGCTTCAGTTTCCTCTTTTGTAAATAAGGGTGAGTAATAGAACCTACCTCTTAAGGGGTAAGTGATTAAGGGTTAAGTACTTTAAAGCAGTAATTTCATGGCAAATACAGGGCCTGGCTCTTAATAAATGCTCAATAAATGTTAACGATTATTATTACTCTAAGATGGGAGTGGCCATCAGTGTTAGCAGTTATTGATTTTGGACAACTGATTGCTCCAAATATACCCCTCTCTGTTCCCCATTCCCTGCTCTGCAGAAGTTTCTAATCCAGTCATTAGTCAAGCACTGCTGAAAATTCCCTGTGCAGTTTTGATTTACGCACCTCCCTCCCCCCTGCCCCCCTCTCCAATTTTTATAAAAATTATTGATGTGTTCACACTTTAAATAATGGAATTGTATTAATGTTCATGAAGTGATTCCAACTGTCATTGTTTGCCATCTTGTGGGAAGCTATGAGCAATCTTTGAAAGAAAAATGCATACATGAGAATAAAAACAGAAAGCTATAGACAAGGGAAAGAAAATAAAGACACCCACCTATTAGAAGAGAAAGACCGGAAGTTGTAAGGCTCAGAGGCAGAATAGGTGCTCAAATGGAGGGAGTCAGAGCAACTGTTAAAGGAAGGAATGCCCCACTCAAAACACTGCAGGAAAGACCACTAAGCACTTTGCTTAATCTACAGGTCAAAAAAGACCCTGTGCCAGACGGATGGGTGAAAGATCTATGGGTGGTGTCAGACCATGCATATTTTTAAAACCTTACATTTAAAATCCATTTTTAGTGATTGTAGTATAACAAAAGAGCCCTGTAATTCAAGCAGATGACAATTTCCTTGTGTGACTTGCCTAACTACTGCTAAATATTTGGTCAGTGGTCAGGGGCTTAGTTTAAGCCACGACTGGGCTCCACTCTACCTGGAATCCACGCACACAGCAGAGGACAAGCGGTGCAGTAAACAAGCTATGTTGCCTTCCCCGGGTTAACCTCACACAGGCCTCCATGCGGGTTGGATCTACCTGTTTTCCTTTTGGGCCTCGGCTTCCTTCTCCTTGGTGGATAAGGGCGAATCCTCAAAGTCATA